GGTGGAGTAACTGACTACTTCGGGAGTAGGAGGACCAGGGCCGGGAGCGGCCAGATTCAGGGAGGAGCTGAGGAAGAAGGTCTGAGGCAGCGACCCCGGCTGACGCCATAGTGAGCCAGAGACCTGCACGTAAGCGGGCAGGTCAGAGGTGAGACAGCAGCAGGCCGAGGGCAGCGGTGAGGCCAAAACAGGACAGAACCACAGGTGGCAAGTGGCTGGGGTGTAGGGGAGGACGGAGCCCCAAGACCACCCGCTAGGTACCGCGCCAACTCTGGTGGCTACCCCAAGGGAGGACCCCCCACTGAGATTACATTCAAAGTCGTGGCAGGCGAGTTCAGGGGTCCTCCCAACCTCGACAGAGGTAGCCTTCGGGGCCCATCTGTAAGCCCGGGGTCCATAAAATCTAGGGACCAGGCGAGGGCAGCGCAGGAGCACCTGCTAGAGCGGAGGCGGGTACATATACAAAAAGAAATCATGAAATGTTCTTTGTTCACTCCATATAAATAGAGTCAGGCAGAAAAGAATTAGGCAGGTTAACTGAATAGTACAATACCGTTTAACAAAAGGAACACTTGAGAACAATCAGTCCTTAAGAGAAAGAAGACTAGTATAGGATATAGTCAAGGCCTAGAATTTGTAAACCTCTGCTTCTGTAATACATTAGTCTCCTGAGAACAGGGATTCTCAATATAAGGATCACAAGCTTGAATCAGGAGGCCACAACCATTTTGTTTTTCCCATATTGCTATATAGGAAGGGGTACCAGCTTCATTTGAAACAATTTTGAAGCTGAAGGCTAAATTCTACAATTCACCCTACCTTGGCTTAAAGACAAAGGGTCTTCATAATACCAGCATTCTAAATTCCATGGGCTATCCATTTTAATTTGAAGTCCAAGTATGCAGGACATTTAATAGGCTGGAACAAGACAACCCATGGATTTCTCTGGACATGTAAGGAGTGGACAGACTATAAAGACAATGCAGCTATACAAACCCAGGATATGACTTGAAAACTGAGAGCAGAACTTCATGGCAACAGAGTCTGGCTGTGGAGCTGTTTAGTTGAAGTGGTCACCCTAAGACTGATCTTTCAATTTGATATCTAGACCTTCAATAAGTCCTTTTCATAGCAGTGCCATCTACCCTGTACAGTCAGTCCACAATAGGAAATAAGAAAGAAGAAGAAAAGAAAGTAACACAATATGAGCGGAAGAAGAAAATGAACCCTTTTTCGGGTTCACTTAATTTTACCCTTCATAGCTATCCATTGCTTCGATTACATGGTGAAAGGAGTCCTAGAGTGAGGCCTGCATATAAGGAACCTGGAGCAATTTGTCGTGAATCCTGAATTGTTCTATGAACTGGCCCATACATTCATCACATACAACAATCTCAATTAGTCTTCAAGTTAAAAGCAGAATAGGCTTCACATTTATCCAATATGCAGGATACCTACAGTCACTTGAATAACAAACAAATCAAGTGCCACTCAAACAAATGCTACCTCTAGTGAAAGACAACTACAAACTGGAGGCCTTATACTTCACAATGACAGCTTTGAATCTCCCGATAATAATAGAGCAAGTATATTTGCCATTTTGATTTAGCTACAGGAAGCTTAAGAGAAGAGAGATAACACTGTGTCTTTAATACAGTAAAAGCCTGTGTTTGTGAGGTCTGAAATAGCAACAGGTTATATGCAGAGAATAGTAAACACAAATTAGTGAGGAAAATCTTTATTTTTTTAGAAGATAAACTGGAGTTTTAAAATCCTAAAAAATAAGCATTCTAAACCTTCAACATCATGGACATTTTTATTTACTAAATAGGGTCTTAGAATTTCAGAGAACTTGCATACAAAAACTTTTTTAGTGAAATACAAAATATATTTCCAATTACAGTCCTGTAGAGCCCTCTAGTGTTGCAAAAGAGGATACTTCTTTGGGAAAAGCTGCTTTGGATGAAACCAACTAATTTAATCTACTGGTATTTAGAAGAAGAAAAAAGATCAGAACATAAAGCCATGGGAATATTTAACTACCTCTAACACATCAGAAGATGACTAAAATATTAGTTTACATGTTTTATAATGCCACGCATGTATATGCTGCATCATACGCCTGCGACCCCACTATTTCCCCCATCCCCTGATGTACAGAATGCCCCAGATCCACCCTCAGCTCACTATGCTACTGCCCCATCCCTATAGGAAGAGGCAGCCAGAGGAGGGAGGGGGAGCTTGGAAATGCCTGCTGCTATAGGACTGCAAGTTAACCCCTTGTGGGCTGCCGACCCTGCCTTACCTGATCTGTCGTGCAGTTTTCTACTCCCTGCCTGACCTGATACTCTGCTTTCTGCTCCCTGCCCCATCTGCCACCACATTGCCTGTCCTTTCCCCAATCTGCTACATGGTGCACACAGAGTCTACCCATACCACTTGTGCTGAAGATTGGCCACTCCTGCTCTAACATTTTTTCAAGCATCTTTATATGCTGCCTATACATTAAGGGCAGCAGCTGAATGAAATATGATTTGAATACCTGCAGAAGCAGAGAAAGAACAATTAAAATTGGCAGTGTCTTATTATTTTGCGGGTTGTTTTGCATTTCTGGAGCTTTGCATTTCTTTTTGTCTCAGACCACAACACGGCTACCAAATACATCCCTGAAATATGGAAGATGCCAAATTTTAGCCAATTTTGGATTTAAACTTCACTGCTGAACAAGAAAGATTTCTACACCTCCCTGCCTGTCTGCCATCTGACACCACCAGGGAAGGAATCCTGCTTTATCTGCACATCAAAAAGCAACTCACAAAGACACTCTCATGGACCCAAAGGAACTGACTTCCACCTTCAGCTTTCTCTGTGCAAAAATGAAGTTTATTTGGGGACTTTTTACCTTCTTTAATTTTCCCTGAGCCTGAGGAAGGGCGTGTGTGCCTGAAAGCTTGCAGGAAAAGATATTTTTTGCTATTTCTTACTGTTTCTTAGTTGATCTAATAAAAGGTATCATCTCTGAACCAAGAGTTGCAGAGTTTTGCATTTCTTACTGTTTTGCAACATCCTACACCACTTACGGCAGTCAGAAATACTTCACAAGCCATGGCCATCTACATTTCAGCTAGAGCATAAAATAAAGTCATCAGCATGCTTCTCAAAAAGAGAAATCTGTAATCTTTTATGGATACTTATAACAATGAACCTTTTGCAGTATTCTGTTCCTTCTACCAGAAGGAGATTCAGATGTTCGAGGAAAATATGCAATGTAAGCATGAAGCACAGAAACCCTAGTTCAATTATAACTGAAGAAAAGCAGGCAGACAAGGTGATTTGGAAAAGGGGGAGGTGAATATATGCTTCATATATTTGAAACCTATCTTTTGCTTAGGTCCTAAAGGATAAAAAATGGTCATCAGAAGGCTAGGTAGAACACATTCCTGGACAACAACCAGAGAGTGCTATATAACTGTCATTTAAAACTAGTAGTCAGGGTAGGCCTTATTTATGCTACTGCTGCTGCTTTAATCTGAGGTAGTGGCTATTTTTCATCTGTTATGGCTGAATTAGAAAATTAGCACCTTGCTTCTACATATAGGGCTATTGCAAGATCAGTCAGCTTAGGTTCAGGAAGGAATCTACTATCCTTGGAAGACAAGCAAAGCAAAAAGAACAAACACAGAAAAGGCCATTCTCTGAAACAGCTGGCAGGGGTCACTTCATTATTGAGCAGCTGTTGGTTTTGAAAGGAAAAAGTAGGAAAAATGAACGCCAGTTTTAAAATATCCATATGCCATTTCACATTTATAATTAAAAAACCTGGTATTTTGTTGCAACCTGTAGAGTGATGAGAGTCCCTTGTGATTTAATGGATTTGCGTCTAAAGTATTTTTTATTTAAACATATTGATTTGCACAGAAACATATACAGGCCCTAGTCTTGACACTTCAACAGTATCTAAAACCAAAGTTAATTGGAAAAAACATCAATAGCAAAAGCTCATCTTACACAAACACAGCCAGTCAATAAAGAACAAAGAAACCACTAGTGCACATTTGACAGTTCAATACTAGACTGGTGAAAGCCAAGAGTGGATTTTCTGGGAGCTATAACATAAAGCCAAACTTTTTCTCACAGGCAGAAGAGCTAGTTTAGGAATTCTAGGCCTCTGGCAGATATTCAGTTAAAGGAGTCATGGGATCTGATGCTACACGTGCATGGCAGGAGGTGCGATTGTGCGATCACAGATCAAATCCCAGTTGTGCCATACTGCCAGAACAGAGGAAGCCTGGGTATCATTATCCAGAGCTCCCCCTTTACCAAGAAGTAGCAAGGCAGTCAGCTGATTAGCACTTACAGCCTCAGGGGCACATTGAAGTCAAGGGCTCTGATTCACCCCTGAGGCTGAGACCGCTGATCAGCAGACTTTCACTCCTAGCCTTGGAGGCACACCAGAGCCCTTGGCTCCAATGCACCCACAAGGCTGGAAGCAGCAACTGAATATGGCGGTACACATTGGAGCTCTTGACTAAAAAGGAAGCACAGATTAGCTGGAAACGCAGATCAGCTGACTGCCCCTTCCAGCCTCAGAGGCACACCAGAATGCTTGACTTAGATGCACCCCCCCAAAGTTGGGAGCCTCAATCAGCTGATGCCTGGCCACATATTCAACATGAGGCATCATGGGAACCAGTCCAAAGTTATTCAACAAAATATGTGTAATAATTTTGTGGTTTCTTCCTTGTTTTACTGTGCCATTAAATGCATTATCGTGCAGCCAGGTTACTACTTAAGACATGATTAACTAGTTAATCACGTCTTAAGTATAATGTCTGCCAGGGGCTACATTCAAGAATTATTAAAAAAAGGCTGTGGCCTAAACTTTTAATCAATAATTTAGAATTCAGTGACAAAACTGGTATTTATATACAAGTCAATAAAATATCTTATGATAAAAACAGCTGCCTCTCAAATTCACACAAAGGTGGGGACATACTTACCAAGGCAATCATAAAGGCCCTGACTTATCCAAGCTAGTATAGCAAGAGTGATAAGGTCTCCAAAACTTGCTGCAATGGGCGTGGCAACATTGTCAGGATTAATACCAGTCTTCTTTGATCCAACAATAACTCCAACCATAATTATCCCTGGATCCAAAGTAAGAAGAAAACATGTTATCTAATGCCATGCCACAGGAAATTTATGGACAAAATGGAAATCAAAACTAGATCTTGTGAGAAATACAAGCCTTTGCCTCTGTCCCAGAATCATTCTTCCTCCTAGGTGACTCAAAATTAATCCTATTGTTTTTTTTCTACATTTTTGTGTGTAGGGAAAACAAGGAAATCCATCAGTCATTGGCTCTGTATGGTCATTCATTTTGATTATATATAAAATTGGCACTTGGTAAAAACCATAAAATCATAAAGGGTCTTTGTATCACCATTCCTTGCAGCAAAATATTATATGAGGATAGTTATGTACAGTACAATCTTGCTGAATTTGCACTGATTACTGCAGACTCAGGATAGTTTAAGGTTTCATCACTCAAAATGCATTAGCTATTAGCAGGTTTCATATTCTCCATGATTTCCACTCCTGGTCACAAAAATCACTCAGTGCTCCATTATTAAAATATAGATTGATACTACATAAACAGTAAATCAAAACATTTCACACGGAGGTAGTTTATATTCTTTTCTATAAAAAGCAAGAGTTCAAGAGGTTCTGTATAGAACTCCAATGCCTGCTGAAAATTCTGCTCGTAGTGTTATATTAGCAATATCGCTAATATCACCTAAAGAATTTTTCCTTCATAACCTAATATTTAAGGGGGAGTTTTCAAATACATTTATTAATCTTAACTTCAAGTCTTTTTAAAAATTAATTTCTTATTACTTTTATATATTCGTATATACTGTATTATTTTCTTTTGTAGAAGAGATGAGAGTTTGCTCTCAACCCTAGTTAAGGAGCAGTGCCTAAATATTTCGTTCTAAGTCACAATTCTTCCAAAGCACATGTTTTGTGTGTAGGAGTCTTGGACTTGGAAAGGAATTTGCTGTGCTGGCCCAGTACCAAACACAGTACACTCTCTTTTCATGACTGAACTGTACATGAGCAGGAGTATGTGTAGCCATAATCTGCATATTCCCCATCCCTATGACTACTCCAACCCAACCCATAACTGAACTCAGGGGCTATGTGTTCACTAAGAGAGAAAGTATGATCTTAACTCATGTTACAAATTCTGTAAAATCCCAAAGAATTCAAAGCACTATTCACATGAGATAATAGGCTGAGTTAAAGAATAAGAGGTACTTAGTGTTTAACCTGATCTGGTAACTTGTACAAAGACTAAACTGCCTTCTCTTCATTGACAGTTTGTCTTGAATTGAGAACGCACCTTATCTTCTTAGTGCAGGAACGACCTGCTTAGTCCCCTATATGACTATATAAGGCCCAATCACAAATAAGTGCCATATGTTTAGCAGTGACAATGTATGCTGCGCAGCTGTGACTACAAAAAGAAATCCTCTACCCTCAGATGTGGGGAAAATCTAAAACAACCCTTCTCATTTTCACATCCATGCATGAATTTGTTCAGAATGTCATGTGACTGGATCCCATTTTATCACCTCATGTTGCCTCAAGTCAAAATAATTAGGGCTTAGTTTTACAAAGATGCCGCTTTTGATGTAGGCACAATCAAGGCTTCATTTTATCAACCTGAACAAAATCTGGATATTACTAAGACCCCTACCAGATGTGTAGGCAGATGCTACAGGAGGCATGATTGTGAGATCTAGCATGAGATCCCATCATGCCTTATTGCCAGTGCAGGGAGAGCCCACAACCACGATCCCAGACTCCTCATGCAGTGGCAAGTAGCAAGCTCCCACAGCTGGGAGCCTCCTCAGCTGACAGGGCTCCCAGCCACAGGAGCACATGGCATACCCCTGTGGCTGGGAGCCCCATCAACTGTGGGCTCCCAGCCTCAAAGGAGCATCAGGCCACTTGTTCAATTAATGGCATGACAGCCACGAAGTGATTACACACTTTTTGTGGAATAACTTTGTGGAATATATTCCTTGTTTTATGACATGAACTGCGTTAACATGTGGTTGGGTTTACAACTTAAGATGTGATTACCCTTTTTTTCATTACTATGATTTCAATTATTAGTACATAAAAGGAGATTGCAAAAGGGCATCCTACTACCAAGCATCTATTTCAGATATATTGTGCTCTGCAGGGTTTTAGATCTTTAAGTACCGGTGACATAAATGCACATTCAGTTTTTACTGAAAAATCAGTCACAGTGGAAAGTTACAAATATTTCTTTCACCTTGTAAAAGAGATGCAATAAAGGCAGTTGCTACACTGCTGGAACACAAAAGGATTGAATGGTCGAGGCGGTATTTGCCATCTGGAATCCAGCCCAATATGATTGCTGCCACTGCTGCCAGAAAACCAACTACTGTTGCTTGCACCTAGATGAACAAAACAAGAGTTCATTTAGTAACAGATTCACCTTTTAAAATTAATTGAGAGATGCAAAGCGACTAAAACTGTTCCCTGCTTTGCTATACTTTCTCAATAGGAGAGATACACCTTGTACGTAAAAAGCAGTTTTACTTTTTCTCTGTCTGTCTTGCTTAAGAAACAAACTATGTTACCATGAAAACACATATACAGTACATTTATTATTATATGGTATTTAGCATCTGTATTGATCATTATAGTGTTTATAGTCTGTGGATATTTTTCTATTATTCAAAATTTGTGCTGAGTACTTTTAATGCAAGAGTCTACAAAATGAGTAAGTTTTACCTGTTTTAATGCCAAATTGCCAATTATTAGGTTCCATTTCTCAATGGGAGAATCCATTTTCCCAATGTTTACCTGTGAAATAACAAGTGAATTTTAGATATTTGGATTTAAATTTATGATACTTTCAAATCTAGTAGTGAAGCAACAAGTCACCGACAATTTAGTGCCACAACTAGAACAGCTGTAATATTAATATGCTCCAGGGGGTTTTGGGGGTTTGTTTTTTTACAAAATTCATTAAACACATCTGTTACAAAGTTAGATAATGAACAGCATTTACTTTTAAAGTATTTCAAGAGGAATAATGATTAGTCAGTCATTTTGAAAGTAAACTAAAACCAAATCCAGCTTTACAGTATTATTCTACTATTCAATTTACACAGCTTCTACCTGGTCAAGCCAACACTGATGAAGTTTGCCGTACAGAAATCTTGTCAAGTAAGTAACTTGTTTCTTTGCACACATCTTTACCACATGCATAGTGAATGTTACTTAAAATTCTGTGTATATTCCTGAATGTATAACCAGGATTAGATTAGTTGGCAAAAAGGAGAAATGTACTAAAATGGTTTGCATTTAGTCACTTTAGAGAAAAATCAACCTAAAGTGCCATCAAGGCTAGGGTCAGAAATTATATGTAAACTAGTTTAAATGATCAGAAACTGATTTCAGATAAACCTGGCTGAATGTAGTATTAGACTTAACTGATTTAGGTCAAACTGGTTTATGAAGATTCTGTCCCAAACCCTTTCCTGATTCAAGTTAAATCAGAGTCCCTCAATGTCTTGCAGCCCTGGGCAGTGCTATGCTGTCTGCTCCAGAGAGAAGGGCTGGCCCCGCACCTTTCCTCCCTAGTTGGAGCAGTGAGAGCTGGCTCACTGGCCAGCTTACTGCCCCCGCCAGAGGCAAACCCCTGTTGGGGTCTGTGGCCAGAGTGTGAGGTTAAACTTCCCTTCCCCCAAGTATGAAGCTGCCCTGCCATGCTTACTTAGTGCTGGCTCCAACTGTGGACTACAAATCCCAGAGGCACCTGGAAGTAGGAAGAGGAAGTGATGAGCAACCCTGCAGAGTTCTGCTTCTGTGATTCTGGACTGCAAATCCCAGAAACCTCAGGGGCAGCAGGAAGAGGAAGCAAGGACACAGCCCATGCTTGCTATGTGCCAGAGAGCTGTGCTCCAGTGCCCACCAGGCTTCTGGCCTGAGCCACTGTAGGCATGTGGCTGCATTTCCTGAATCAAAAGTGAATGTCTGTTCATTTGCTTATTGGTTCAAACTTTGCAGCTTAGAATAACTTGCAAAGACTGAATCAATTCAGCCTCAGGCTTTTTGACTGCCTGTACTTAGCCCAAGAGTTTATATTCTGTTGACCTCATCCTGGAAACATTTATGCTTACAACTTCAGTTCAACAGGCTGCTTACATAAATAAAAGTACATTTGCAAGTTTCTAGAAAATCAAGTTTTATAATCAAAAGCAGAGTTTGGCTTTGTAACTTTGGATTTACCCCAGTGTAAGTATAGACTTACATTGCTGTAAACAAATTTCAGCCTAATTCTATGAGGCAGGGAATAGGAGTATCCAATCCCAAATGAATTAAAAAAAACCAAACAAATAACTTTTAAAATGCTGTCCCACATACCCTTCTTTCAGAATGCACTGTTTTGTTGAAAGCAAAGCTAGGACAAAATGTAGAGATCTGGACAATATCTGGGCACTATTTGAGGACATTATAAGTTCTATTTTTTGAGGAAAGTGTTCAGAATCTCCTGTTTTCCAGCAAAGAAGTTATACTTAAGTTTTTCTGTTGCTCACTAAATGAGAGACATAACATGAAAAAATCACTCTCCAAATAAATTAAACCCAGGCCCTTTTGCTTTCCCATTTTAGTCGTCTCTCTTTACATTTCTCATTCTTTTCCATCTTGCTCTTGCTGTTTGTGGTTTAGGAGGAGGTAAGAGGAAACACCCAGATAAATGCACTGAAAGTTATTGAGGCTTTCACAATCTACAATATAAACATTTTACAGTGTTCAAAGTACATTCAAACTTCAAAAATAGTCCTCTTGAATTTAGATAGCGCAGCATTATTTAAGGAGGCACAGCTCTTACACAAATCTTATTTATTCTTCTTAAATAGGTGTGTTAAACACATTATGTAATGGGTGATAGTTATAAGGTAAGGCATTTCTTTCGTGTTCTTTAAGAGCCCATAGACAACATCAAGTGGTCTCCATGTGAACATTAAAATCCCTTGGCACCTTTAATAAAAACAAGGGTTTGCCCTGAAGTCTTTGATCAAAATTTCCCTTCCACCTTCTGTGATATAGCATATTGTATACCATCTGTCCTAGGTGATAGATCCCTCCATGCCAGAAGTGACATTTCTCTGTTGCTGGCAAGCATTTTCATTTACAATTGGCTTCAACTGGCAGTCTTGCAATTTATGTTTTGAACTTTTTTACACAATAAAAGGAACTAGAAAACAGGCAAGTAGATACAAAGAGGTGCAGTACTTCAGAACTACTGATTTATTAGATTGACACAATTTTCTATTTTTTTGATAATGTCCTTTGATGATAAACGTCTTGACATGAACATGTATTTACACACAGTAAATTATTTAATAAACAGTTATCATTTCAAAATTGGTACATGGTCATGTATCATGTACATAGTTTTCCCTTTTGAAATCACCTCAGTTTACCATTGAAAGAGTGCAATACACATCCTTTGGTATTGATTCTTTCCTCACTCTGATGCCTAGAATTCAGGACGTCTTGCTCACTACAAGATCTGCCAATCTGTTTTGATGCAGAACTCCAAAATGCACATATATTTAGGCTAGGTCTATGCTTGCAAGGTTTTGCTGGGTTGTTTTTGCAGGCAAAATACTCCAAGAGCAGACCCAGTTTATACTGGCAAAATTGTGCTTTTGTTGAGGTTACTTATTCCAGCCTTTAAGACAGCCCAATCCAAAAGCAAAATAACCCAAACTGAAAAGTATGCAGTTTGTTAGTATAACTTCATCTACACCAAAGGCTTTTGCCAGCCCAACTGTATCCTTAACAAATTACACTTCATCCCATGCCTGACTAATAGAAGTATGCTGGCAAAAGGTTGCTGTATAGACCTGGCCCTATACTGTAAAGGAGAATTGCCCCATTTCTGTAATCGAGAAATGAGTAAAAGCTAAGAGCTGAGATTTTCCAAGGGGTGCTATAAGTTTAAAAAGGGTGAGCACCAGTGGACTACAGCCTCCCCTTATTTTAAACAGCTTTAATCACACACCCTCTGAAAGATAAGTTTCCCCTGTCAGTGTCTCAAATGTGTCAGTCTTGGACTTCAGACAGCCTAGTTGTCACTTCAGTACATTCAGTATCTTATCAGTATTACAAGATAATATTGCCTTCTATCTAGGAAAGTAAACAGAAGCAAAAAAATATTGTATGAATCTTTCCTGCTTTATTCCTTTACAACCACCTGAAGGCAAAGGGACTGATTGGGCATTTTTACACGTGCAAATTGTGTAAGTGGCAAAATGAGTGTCAACTCAAAGAAAATGGCGGTGGTGCGCTTTTGAACCTTGCAGATGCTTTAGTTCAAAAGCGAACCACCACCGTTTCTCTGCACTCACGCGCATTTTGCCACTTATATGACTGCAAGCAGCACAACGCAGTGCATGTCAGCTCCTGTGTGGAGCAGACTCGATTAATTGAGTCTGCACTGAAGCGGCAGATCCCTGGTGCATCCAAGAACTAAAAAGTACATGTATAAATGCCCATTTAGTCTACTTAGGGATTGCCAAGTGATAAAAGGAGTTCACTGGGTCTGTGGTTTTGCTGTAGTTTGCAGTCTGTTTGTGGGCTATGCATTCTGATGAACAGAGGCTTTACGTCTGAGGTACGTTCCCACTCTGATCACTACTGAGGTACGGTTAATTAAAGGAGGGGGCAGGACTGACTCAAAGTAAAGGCTTTAAAGCGAAGCAACCAGAGATGTTAACAAACAGAAATTGGGTATTGTGAGTTTGTGTGGAAGACTACAAGGAAGAATTTGGAGGGAAGTTGTCCTTTTTTCCTTAAAGATCTGGACTAGAAAGATAAGACAGTGACAGCAACTCAGAGAAAAATGGAAATGACCAAAAAATGAAAAAGGTAATGAAGATGAAAAACTGCAGGTAATACAGGAGATACATTTTTGTTAAGAGGGTACCTGATAGAAGTTGCATCAGCATGATGTGTTGCCTGGTAGGACTTGTGGAAGATATGAGGACTAGAAATGTACTTAGAGATGGTACAGTGCAGACAGGGATTAAAGGCATGATGGAGAAAAGAGGAGAGGAGAATGTACAGGCAAATCCAGATTTGGAAAAAAAAATCTCAGTAAATTGGAGGACAGTTTACTAAGAAATGTGGGCAGACACATAAATAGACTTCTGTATTTTATTTTATTTTGTTTCCTTTTATTTTGTTTTTCCTCTGTCTTCATCTGAAGTGTTGAAGATTGCATAAGACACAGGACAGGTGTGGGCAACCTGTGGCATGGGTGCCACAAGTGGCACAAGAAGCCTCTGTGTGCTACACAGCAGATGGAGGAGGCAACAGGCAGCACAGCAGCAGGTAGGGCAGGGAACAGAAAGCAGAGCATCAAATCAGGCAGGAAGCACAGGGCAGGGAACAGAAAGCTGAACAGCAGATCAGGTAGGGAAAAAGGGATTGGAATGGCACTCAGGTAGGGTACAGGTCTAATTTGTGATACACCTGCCAAAAGAGGTTGGTCCTCACTGGGGTAGGATGTGCGGATTCTCCTAGTGATACTGGCAAACTTTTTAGGTGCCTGGTTGGTGTGTGCCTTGCTCAAACACTCAGGGTTAAACCAATCACCAGACGTGGGGTCAGGAAGTCATTTTCCCCTCAGATTGCTCTCTTCTAGCAATGTGCTGTAGTTTTTGAGGTCTTTGGGTTATTTTGATTTAAAAAATCCTACATTTGTTACAGCATGGCAAGAGGTGCTTTCGGGCTTCTGGTGTGCATATTGGGGGGTGCTCCTCGATTATACCAAATGTTATTACCAGCCATGAGAGCATGGTCTTGCATTTTGTATTATTGAATTTCCTCTTATTTATATTGATCCAAGCCTCAAGGCCATCCAGTTCCAATCCTCCTTAGTATGGGCAAGAAGTCCCAACTTTGTGTCATTGTCAATTTAATGAGCATACTCCTAGCTTTCATGCCAATATCATTAATTACATTTCTCTCTACACTGACCCTTGAGGAACTCCACCAGTTATGTTCCTTAAATTGATTAAACTACATTATACTAAAAGAGGAGCTGCCTTCATGTTATTTATCTGACCTTTATGTATTCATCAGTAGCTACTTCCATTAACTTTTGAGTGAAAACCTCCACACCTACACCAAAGAAAGTATTGAGCTTATATCATCCTTGTCTATTATCAAAGGGAATTTTGGTTGCAAAGCACCTCTCAAAGTCAGTCTTAACAAACCACACTGCACACAGGGTGTGGAATGGACCAGAAAAGCTCCTAGCTTGTTCTCCAGAAGCATACACTTCCTTCTTAAAAAATATGTCAGCCTTTAGTTTTTATGGTTGTCAATGAAGCCTCCAAAATGTTTAACTGGGTGTAGCTAAAGCAGAGACGTCTTCATACAGAGAGTCTGAAACAATTACTCTGAGAGGTGTGAACTGCTCCATGTACCATCCAGTGGTGTTAACTCATAAGCCCACAGTGAACTAGTAGAACTTGGAGTGTGCACAATCACATCTGAAACTGCTATTTAGTTTCTTGTGACCTGCATAGTTTTCATGAAGAGAAATTATTCTGAGGGTGGAGTTTATAAGGGATGACTATTTTCTTCCTGTGATCATTTTGTATTTACTACGATGAATTTCTGTAACAACTACATAAATACTAACCCTGCCAGCTTCTCATCTAAAAGACTAATATTTTTTCTTTCTAACATTACAACACATATCCAAATGGGGGGGGGGGGAGATACTCACTGCAGTTGACAGTCTGGATGCCAAAGTCATCTCCAAATTTCCTTTGAGTCCAAGAAGTGCAGGAACCAAGATAAAAACTTCGGAAACATTTTTGAACACTTCCCAATGCTATTTAAATGATAAAAGGGGAAAAAAAGCTCAGATACATATTATCCCTTCACATTTTCAGACATTATTTTAATAACAATACATCATTCACAAAAATGTTTTAATCCTCAGCTATTTTCTTAACATTGCACCTAATATTTCTTGAGACGACAGACTAACAGCTACCTGGGCTACAGACAGAAATTACACATAAACTGTTATAAGTGAACGGAAACTGGTTCAAATCTGTAACACAACAAGTTCAGTGCACATAAACCTCTTTCAAAATGTCTGAAACTTGTTTAAGATAAACCTGAATGGATGTGGTATCAGACTCCACTGCTTTAGGTTAAATCGGTTTATTTATGTACCAGATCCCCTCCAGATTCAAGTTAACTCTCAGTCCCCCAGCATCCCAGTATGCTTTACACCTCCCCTACAACCCTCTCCCCTTGCAGGGTTGGTGGGCTAGCCATGGCCCAAGCTGTCTGCATGGGCCCTTGACTTCTGGCCTGGGCCACTACAGGAATTTGGTTGCATTTCTGGAATCAAAAGTGAATGTCTGTTCACTTGCCTATCAGTTCGATCTATGCAGCTTAGACTAACCTGTGAAGATTGAATCAATTCAGCTATGAGCTTTTTTACTGTCTGTGCTTAGCCCTGGACAGTAACATACAATATGGTTTTGCATTAATGTTCTGATCTAAACAGAAGTCAGAAAATCAAGGCTGTAAACAGACATCTCATTTGAGGCTCCATGTTTTAAGCCAGATCAAAACATAAATAGCACAGCCATTTAGAATAGGACCCAGAACAAAAGGCTCTGACTTTTATTTACAACCCTACGGTCCACTGTTCCATTTTAAAGTAACCTCTGAAGTATGCAATATCAAATATGCTAACATTTTCCCTGGAACAATGCCACATACCGCCATTAATTAATAGTAGCTCATTCAAATAAATTGCCAATCATTCCAGGGACAAGCCACGCGTGGTCTCCCTTGCCACTGAGCAGTAACACAGCTTTGAAAGACTATGTGTTTACAGAGAAAGTCTTTTGTCCCACTTTAAGTACCTGTGACATATCTAATATAATAATGTAGGTAACCATCGACCCTCTGGATCACGGTGTACACATAAGACAGGGATGGGCAATTATTTGGGCTGGAGGGCCACTTAGGGAGTTTTGCTGAGCTCTTGAGAGCCAGAGGGGTGGTGAGGAAGGAGTGGGATGTTGACCCAGCCTTGGCCCCCTGTCACAGCTGTTTACACAGAGCAGTGTGGGGTGGCCCAAGAAGATTCCAATTTATCTTAGCAGGACAGATTGGGCAGGGGGGTGGGGGTCTCCACAGAGACTGGCCTAGGACACCTGCAGGCAGGGCACAGTTGGCTGGGCAGATGGGATGGAGCCATGGGCAGGCAGGGAGCGGTGTCCAGGTTCAGGGCCGGGGCCAGGATCAGGGGACAGTGACAGTGTGGGGCCAGGACCCAGGAGAAAGCTGTGATGTGTTCCCCATGCATCCCTGCCCAGAGACCCAGTGCCCATCACAAGGACATGCAGGGAACAGATCACAGCGCTGCCCCAGGCACCATCCCTGTGCTGCCATAACCCTGTGATCCTGACCCTGGCCTCACCCACCTACCCATCCCATGGCCCCATCCGCTTCACCTGGCTGGCCTCCAAAGAGACCCCACCTGTCCACCCACCCACTCTGTCCGGTGCCTCCAGTGGTAAGTACAAGGCAGGCGAGTTGAGGTGTCCAGCCAGCAAGACCAGGTCTGGAAGTAGCGGCAATGAGACACATGCTTGCTCTGGGACAGCAGCAGTGGGATCTGCTAGGAAGCTGAGTCTGACTGCTATGCTACCCCTGCAGCCTACAGCTCCAGGTGTGCCTGAGAGCCATGCATGGGGGTAAAGTGGGCTGCACCAGGTGGCACCTCTGTGCCTGGGGGCAGCAGGACCGGCTGCATGCACCAGGGCCTGGGCTGCCCTCCATGTCTGGGCCAGGCGGGACCAAGGGACCCACCGCAGGCCAGATGGAATCACTTGGCAGGCTGGATCCAACCTGTGGGCTGTATTTTGCCCACCCCTGACATAAGAGGTCTAGTTGGGTGCCTGATGAATCCACTTGTGGCTGACAATCCCAATTCAAGACCAACACAGCTTGTTACAAGTTTCACAGATCCATGTTTTCAGAGTTGGAGTCCAAGTGTACAGCATACTACTTTCTTGTTTCTTGCTTTGCTTCCATCCTCTGGATCAAAGCAGCTTCATGTTGTGCTGCACCCAGGACCAGGTGTTCTCTCCAGATTGGATAGGATTCTGCATGTTCCTCCCAGCTTTCTACGTTGATGCTGAGTGACTTATCATTTTTGCACACATCGTGGTACCAACATAGAGAGCAACCCCACTTTATAGAGCCATTTTGAATCTCGCTGTACAAAATATTCTTGGTGATATGGTCTCTTCCTAGTCTTCATGACATGGCTGAGCCATTGCAACCTATTATTAGACAGTGGTTTCTACGTGTGTCAGTCCTGAGCACTCCAACACCTCTGTGTTTGGCATTTTTTCTTCCCACTTTTATATGAGATAAAGTGTGCTAACTCTTTTACCTAGAACAATGCTGTATAAATTAACTGTGGCTCATTCAAGTTAATTGCCACTCATTCCAGAGAGAAGCCAGGCTGCAAACAGAGCAAAACAGGCATGGGACAGTCATTTATACATGGAGCTTGAAATTAGCACCCTTTTTCCCCCATTGTTGAAGGAAGCAGGGAGATGGGAAGAGTTCTCTCAGTACTTCAGAGGTTAAAATGGGACAATGGGCTTGTACAGTCAGATCCCAGAATACAAGGCTTTCTTCTAGGACAGTGGTTTTCAACCTGTGGTCTGTAGATCCCTGGGAGTCTGCAGACTCTGTCTAAGAGGTCCACAAAAGATAACCATGATCAATTGAAACTATACGAATAGCCACACTTGCAATTGAAAGGGGTCTGCACCTCCATTTGAAATTTCCAAAGGGGTCCACAAATGAAAAAAGGTTGAAAACCATTGTTCTAAGAAAACTCTAAGTCTTTTTAGTATCAGAAGGACAATGGTGCAGTTTGGAAGGGCAGCAGCTCCTTTTTTGTCTCAAGTTATCACATGTAGGATGTATGAGATTTACACCTATAAGTAGGGAGCTACCAAATACATGATTTCACAGATTTCAGGGAAATTTTGTAATTGGCAGTCTCCCATGAAATAGCTGGTTCCCTGTGGGACTTCTGGCACTCCTCAGCTAATCAGATGCTTGAGGGGGCCCACTTTGCTCTGTCTTCCAAATGGCAGCCCTGGCTGTGATACAGCCATGAAATTGGGGTGCCAGGCTGTGTTACAGCCTTGTATTTGACCACCAAGGCCCATTAATTTGGTAGGTCCCTATTCATAAGAAATGATTTAAAAGTTTTAGTGAGACAATGAAATAAAATTAGCATTGTTACATGGCTTGGTGCAGCTGAAAGATAAATTCAGGATGAAAGTCCTTGGCATCTTGTGGACACAAATTCCTGGACAGCCCCCAAATTCAGGGCTGTCCGGGAAAAGTATGGGTGGTTGGTCACTTCAAACACATGTATGACGTTCTTATGTATAAGCTTAAGATTTAGCAAGGTAGGGATTTAACCTGAAAGTATCCTTTATAATAATTGGAGTTTAGAGTAAAAGTAGCAGGCTTTGTCTGGTTTAATTTTTGTTTTGAAACTGCATTCTCTGTACTTAAGACCCTTGTTGATTTGAGTTCAGGTTACATATTGTAGTAAAACAAGACAAAGTTCCTGTTTCACAGTCCAAGGAAGTAACAATATTTGCATACCAATGTTAACTTCCTTTTACTAGGTTACCAGATGGTTATTTTCTTATCATAAATGTTTCCAGGAAGATGAATTCCAATTTTCTTTGCTCTGATTTACAAGCCTGAGTGTTGGAGAGTATTGCCCTTTGCCTGTTTTTAATTAACAAATTCATAAAGTGGAAGACTTAGTTACAAAAAAAAAAAAAAAATCTCCATTTTCACCTTGAAGGTAAGGAATTCAAATTGTTCATAGATTTTAAAAGAGACTTCTGTGAACACTAATTGTATAGAGAAAAACACAAAAGCAATGAAGTTTTCACAGAATTTATGAAACTCTACACCTTGGTAAAGCAGCACCAGGAAAAGAAATAGAAAAAGTAGAAGAAAAGTTACTTCCCCCACCTCTTTGAGTTGAGGTGAGAAGACAGGGAAATAAGCTGCTCCAATAGGCCTGTCCTAACTTTTAGCTTCCACTGAATTTTCTTTAATCATTACTACACAAAACATTACTGTGTAAATAGCTGACTATGAATCCTGGGACATTTCAACTCCACTGAAGTACAACTGGTGACATCTTCAACTTAAGAGTTACACTATAATCCAATTTCACAACCTCTATTCTTGTCAGTCAGTTGCAGAAATACTCCAAAGCAGGGCTCTGAAGTTATGTTAAAACTGAACGTGAGAGAGGGGGAAAATCTTGTTACTTAGTCTGAACACTGAGTATGAGTTAGGCTTCCCTCCTCAAACCAGTGGGATCTAGTCCTTGTATATCAGGAAGGAGTAGTAGAGGTGGGATCATAAGCCTCATAATAATGTCTACATTATGGAAATGTGTGTGTGTGGCAGGGCACTGCGGGTGCCTGCCACTTTAAGGGCCTGGAGCTGGCAGCTGCCCGGGGCCTGACGATGCTGCCAGGTGCCTGACGATGGCAGCCATTTTGGATTTGGGGCTGCCCATATAAACATGGCAGTTCTGCTGCTGGAGGGCAGGCAACAACATTGCCTGGGTGGAGGGCTGCTGGTATCATCTGGAGGTAAGGAAGGAGCTGTAGGGGATGGTCAGGAGGCTCCTGGTCCTGGGCATGACCTAAAACTGCACCCTGCTGGGAGTGGGTGGCCTGGTGGGGCTCCCAGTGGCACAGGAGCCCCCAGGAAACGCCAGGCCAGTTACCACCCCGGTGAAAGGTGGGTTGGGGCGCCTTAACCCCTAGCCCCCACCACCGGGTGGGTTGCCCCTTGTTTGGAGGGTCTGGAAGGTGGACCCCATGGAGAAAGAGTGAGGCCATTGACTCAGGCCTGTCTGGACTTCCCCTGACTGGCCCATGCTGGGGCCAGGACCGGAAGGGTCAAAGGGCTGGGGGTCACCGCGAAGAACGCCCAAGAGCTGAGGGCCTGGAGTCCCGACTGGCCTGGAGGTGGGCCAGGGCTAGGGAGCTGAAGGTCCTGGGGGGACCACAGCTGAAGGGGAAGCAGTTCAGGGAGCTATGCTGCCTAGTATGAAGGTGGATGAGACCGCCTGAGGGGAGGAATCCAGGCGGGGTTCAATTAAAAGGAGCCTGGGGCCCAGGGTGGGGGCCGGTGATGATGAAAACATCAAGATGCCATCTGTGAGGCATGGGCTGCGGTGTAGGGGAGGAATGGAGCTGCAGATAGCGCCCCCTGGCATCGGGGCAGGAAATGGGCAGCCTCCCGCTTATTAACATCTATTAATTAATTAACAACAAGGTGTGGCGGGCGGTTAGCCCAGAAACAGGTGGGCAGGCCACAACTAGATCGGCCTGAGAAGGCCCCCTGTGACAGTGTGCAATTTTGCACTTGCTGCACATAATATTGTATAAAGCCATATGCTCATCTCCACATTCCAAAAGTCCTGTATCATTCTGTATGTGCTTCCAGGTATTTTATTAAATTATGGTAAGACTTAAACATGCATGTGGCAGGGCACTGTTGGTGCCTGCCACTTTAAGGGCTGAGCTAAACAGCCAGCAGGTGCTTGATTACGGCAGCCATTTTAGAACTCTGGCTACCCTTATAAACAGAGCAGTTTGCTGCTGGCAGGCAGGCAGAAACAGTCTGGCTGAAAGGCTGTATGAAACATTTTGGCGGTAAGGGCAGGAGCTTAGGGGGATGGTTTGGAGGCACCTGGTCCTGGGCATGACCTAGAACTGCACCCTGCTGGGAGTGGGTGGGGCTTTCAGTGGCACGGGAGCCTCCAGAAAAATACCTGACCAGTTACCACCCTGGTGGAAGGCAGGTCAGAGTGCCTCAATAACCACTAGCCCCCACATCACTGTGCACAGCAGTTGGGGCCAGGCATAGCTACAGCCACAGCCATTTGAGCGCTCAACTGGGGAGGGAAGCCCTGTAGCCCCAGTGAGGAGGCAGAGATGTGGAGCCCCAGTGAGGGGGAAACCGGAGGGCTGGGAGCCCAGTATATATGTGGGAGTTTGTATAGAGTTGCCCCGGGAGGAGCCAGGGTAAGCTTGGTTCCGGTTGGGTAATTGGCTGGCCACTGCCCCAGTGAGGGTCATGGGAGAGGCCCAAAAGACTGTCTGCCACCCAAGGTGTATGCTAGATAAAGCCTATGGCCAAAGGGGCCTGTTCTGAGAGGGAGCAAAGCAGTAGAAGTTGTTGATGCGTGAAAGAGACCCTGAGACGGGGTGGAGTGTGAGAGGAGGGTATGAATGCGTGTGTGCCTGAGGCCTGACAACAAGGGCTAAGCGTGGTCCGGCTGTAGGCTGGGAGCATTGTCACCTGGATGCCATCTGCGAGAATTGGGCTGCGGTGTAGGGCAGGAATAGCGCCCCCTGGCATTGGGGCAAGAATGGGTAGCCTCCCACCTTACTAGAACCAATTAAGAAACAAGGAGTGGCAGGAGAGGAGGTGGGCAGTTGGCCCAGAAACAGGTGGGTGGGCCAGTGGCAGACAAGCCCTCAGAGAGCCCCCTGTTACAATGTGTCTCTATATACCATATACATTCTGGCAGATCACATTCTCCCCAAAATTAGGGTATGTGAGATTTTCCCAGAAGGTGGGATATACAAGTAAGTCAGGCAAATAAGAAACTATTCAATTTTCTCACAGTACACATGTACACAGCTGATGGAACATTCAACATTCATAAATCAAACAAGCATTTCCACCCAATTATAACAGCATATATGCATAAATACTGATAACTATTTTGAATCAATGTATGAGTATTAAATATCCTTGAAAATTAATTGTAATACTTCAACATATATGTTGATTTTTTTTTAACCAGTCATCTGTGGCTTAGCAGCCATAGCCATCAACAAGTTTCAAACTTTTAACATCTCGCACTGCAGTACTAGAGCTACTAAAATGTTATAAACGCAGTTTGTATTTGCAAAATTTGAATACACATACACGCATGCACGCACTTTGCTCCCAATCAAAATTGTGACTATTTCTACTAGAATGCATTAAAAAAACCTTAACACTATATTTAAAGCATGTAAAGTAAATACCAACCTGCACAATATCCAGAACCATACCAGCAGAAACAGTTCCAAATCCTGCTAGCAAAAATGGTACAAGTATCTGTAATGCCATAATACTACTGGATTCCTTTGGCTGTTTTCTGCTCCCTTCCACGATGACATCTTCATCACTATCAGTAGATAAGCTGTCACCCTGTAATATGGCATCCGTTTCTGAAGTGTCCATTCCATCACAATAATTATAAGTGGAAAAATCATCGTACTTTGGGCTACAGCTAGATGGACTGTGTCCATTACTACCATGAAAAGTTGGTTCTGAGAAGTGATGGTACTCTAGGTGTTGATCAGATCTAACATTATAATTGAGCCCTGTAGGTTGTAATCCATCTTGCCAGACACCATTCACTTTATGTCTCTCTTCCTGGCTTTTGTGATAAACAACTGGAACCATACTCAACAACAGGTTCAGAAATTTGTCAGACTGAATCGTATTTAGATTTATAGTCCAGTTTACAAAACGTTCTCCATCATAAGCCTTACTACTTGCTTTTGTTGTGGTAGATCTGCCTTTACAGTTAGTCATACTGTCATAAAAATGTTACTGTGAAGATCACTTGTTCTTCAGGCTTCAGTGAAGAAGTACAGCTGATGAGGCAAAACAAGTCACACAATCATTTATTTTAATTTTGAAGTGGCCACTTGATTATGTAGAAAGTGTTCTTTCTGCTGAGTACACATCTTGAGCAATTCCATAAGCAAATTTGGATCTGGGGAAGGAAAAAAAGGCAATTTCAAGTAATTTGACATCCTGTCTACCAGAACCTTATATGGGAGTCTTTTGGAAGAGGTAGGAATAAGAAAAAATACAGAAAACTAGGGTCGAGATCTGGTGTCATAGCACTTCGTAGGAACGCTACAATCTGGAAAAGAGAATGGAAAACAGAATCGATTCTGTGACCACCGCAGCAACCACACAGAAATAAACTGAGACACAACTGGATGGCAAAAAGTGTGCACACTACATAGAAAGCTGGGATTTAGAGAATTACACCACTCAACAAGCAGCTGTGGCTCAAAGTTGTGGTAGGCATAGGAACAGACATGAGGGGGCCTTGCAGAGGACTATTACTGAATGCATCACCATAATATTTTACTGAAGATCAAAACAACAATCTTGGATGTGGTGATAGCTAGTAGTCGGTTTACTAACAATTATAGCTTTCATTTGATTTGTCACTTAACTCTTAATTGGCGGGTATTTCTTACCATGGATACAAGTACATAATCAACATGAACAGAAGAACAAAGGGCCAAAAACTATATGTGATAGTCTTCCACTCCTGTAGAAATGTTGAGTCAATGATAAAAAATGTGTAATTTATAACAAAAGATATAGAGGCGTGAGAACAGTATGGGTGTGCGTTTGGTCTTAATCACAGGTGAGAGGGCAGCTCTGATTCAAAACTAGAACTCCCCTTCCCTCAACTGCTTTAACTCAAGGGGACTTTTGCCAAGAAAATAGCCTGATACTTCAAGAACAGCAGTGGAATCAGTCACTTAATTTTTTTAAGAAATCCAAAATTCTTCAAGGAAAAAAAAAAAAAGTCCCACTTTGCTTTGCTCAACTGAAGATTTCTTTGCTACATCTGCCATACTAAGCTGTATCATTCATCACAGGTATTTAAACCACCTCCCTATCCCAGCATTAAAAGAAGCTTCTGCACATAACACTTGCAGAGAATAATTTTCATTGGTGGTAGTAGTATTACAATACCAAGGAGCGCTCTCATGGGCCAGGACCTTACTGAGATTAGAGTTCAATCTTGGAAAAACAGGGCTAGAAGGAACCTCGGGAGGTCATCTAATCCAGCCCTCTCCTCAAGGCAGGATCATCCCCGGCTAAACCATCTGAAGTCAAGTATTTTGTCCAACAAATTGAGCAAACAGAGAGCAAAAAGATGGTCTTTACCTCACACCGCTTGCTATGTAAAGCAAGTGATGAAGCAGAGTACAGATAAACAGAAAGTAAAGTAAGATAATATTAGTCAACATGATTGATACTGGTGTCAGCACATCAGCAGTCTAACTGTTGTCAAGTACAATATAGACATAATGGCACTGGAGAGTTTTATGGAAGGATCAGAAGGAGAATAGTAAAGTAGCTTTACAGCAACGTATGGTGAACTCCTCCCCAGTCTAAGGGGCAGCATGGGAGAAACTGCAATGGTGCTTATTTGAAAATGTAATAACTTAATGGAAACTCTCATCATAGACTGATTAGTAGCAGAGATGCAAAGAGGGTGACATGGAAAATGATGTGCAGCAGCAATCTGAATGAATACATGCAGGACAAGAGTGTATTTGTTAAAGCCAGAGGGGAAAAAAATGCTGCACTGAGAAATGAGATTATGAGATCCTGTATGAAAGTTTCAGGTACATCAAAAAAATAGAAAAGCCTTAATCTTATAGATGTTGGAATGGAAAAAATATATGCAAGAGTCAGATATAGACTGGAGGCAGACTTAGAGAGACATCCCTGTTGATTAGGACACTCAGATTATGGACCTGGGTGATAAGCAGGATGTTGCTGAAATTTCCATTTCCTCATTGAGTTACCTAGCTGTCAGAGAGACAGACTGAGATTTTAGTTTGGACAGAACATAAGTGTGAAGTAAAAGATCTACACATTGGCTGCCCAGACAGCTGAATTTGTATTTCTCAGTGAGATTACACAGGTTTGAAATGCAGAGGGAGAGAAGGAAGAGATGAAGAGCCCTGTGGAACCGCAACAAAAAATTGGCAGGAGGGAGATGGGAATCCTTCAAGGAACATGCTAATGGAACCAAAAAAACCCCCCAAAACAAAAGCCTGGAAGCCAAGAGAGGACAGGACGCAGTTTCAAGAAGAAGAATATGATTAAATGTGCTGGAGTGAGCTGATAGATTAATGACAATGAGAATGGAGGACTGGCTCTAAAACGAGACGATTAGAGTTTAAGTGGTTACAATGAACGCAACAGGACGCTGCTGGACTGACCAGTCACTGAGTCGGAACTGGGAAAGAGAGGAACACATCAGTATTTGTGAATAGTGGGCGCATATACATGAGACACGGTTTACTGCAGAGCTGCCTTCCACAGTAAAGTCTCAATGTCTAGACATGCATGGCTCTATTAGGCCACACTTGTAAATAAAAGTACTATCCTGTGGTGGCAGTCTTTCGCACGCAGCAACTCACATGTAGATGCTGACGGGGCTGGCTGGGGCATGAGGGTGCTTCAGGAAGGGGGGCTGCCTTCCTGCTAGCCCCGCACTGGAACACCCTTGTGCCCCAGCCAGCTCCTCTGCAGCATACTGAACCAGGTTGGAGCAGCCCTGGGCTGTCAGGCTGAACCCCCCCCGGGCCTCTAAACTTCTTTATTCGCTATGGGGAGAGGAAAGATTATAGGAGGTAACAAAGGTGATTCAAGGAGAAGAGAAAAGTTATGTTGTATTGTTTTATTGCATTATGTCAACTTTCTCTTAGAAAAAATCAATTAACCCCTGTGCAAAGAAAGAATTGGAAACAAGAGGAGGAGAGAGCTGGAGTAGAAGTTTGGAGAACAGATATGGCTGGGACCATGAGTATAGATTCAGTTTAGTTGGAGAAATAAGCTTGTTCACCTAGAAAAATGGCAGACTCAGAGGAGAGGAGAATACATCTGTAGGGAAGGAAGTTGACTTGTCAGTATTATTTCTTTCAGAGATGATTAACAGTGTGAGAGCAAGAGCAAAAGAAGTGGATGTTGGCCATGAACTAATGCAGGGTTAGCAAGGCAGATCTGGTGGAATGTGGAGAGAATAAATGAACTATATAAATGGCACTAAGAGAAGATGGGGGAGATAAGAGAGAGCTATGACCAGATGAGGATTCATTAACACTTATGGGCTGGAAGCCATTGAAAGTTTCAGTGATGGGCCATAGTAGAGTGGGAACTGATGGGTAGTGACCTACCAGATTTGCAATTCTTGTGGAAACTGCAAAATCAGTAGGTCTCTGCAAAAAAGCATGGAGACGAGAAAGTATGAAACTGGTGAGAAAACTTGTGGGGAGGGGGGGGGAGTA